AGTGACCTTCCAGAATCCGGAATCTCTGTCAAGATTTGCAAAGAGGCTTGGGGAAACACGCAAAGAAGAAAAGTAATCCAGGTTTTTCACTTCTGAAGGGAAGAGCTATGCTTCTGGGAATGTAATGTTTGAAACTTACCACCTTTCATCTACCTATATTCAGGAAATAAACAGTGCATGTGCACATGTGCTAATATATTTGATACTGAAGGGATTGCTAGTTCTCATTTCTGGTGTGAAAGATTGACTGGTGATCAATGGAAACCTGACAGTACCTGGATGTCATGAATTGGCACTGAAATATCAGCATCCATGAAAAGGAATTTTTTTGATGCAGGCACTAGATACTTACTCAGAATATGTTAGTTCCCTCAATTCTAACTGTCTGGAGAAGAAAAACAGTGGGAAATGGTCATTTCATCATGTGAAAACTGAGCACCTTACTGATATAAGAGCCTAAATCAGGTGTTACAAGCAGCTGCTGAGAAAAGGCAAAGGGACATATACTCCTGTGTGGTCTGTTCCTTACCTTTCTGTTTATTGTGGAGTTATGCTACATTGCATCCCATTTGTCTGAGAGACGCGATACAGGAGAGGGACCACCTGTTGGAAGCTGGACTTGTAGCACAGCACCAGTGCACAGGTAGGACATTCAAATTACGGTGTTTCTTTTCAGCCACATGTAGACGAGAAAAAAACTTCCTTGCTTCTGGGAGTCCTTTTGCTTAGAAAAATATGAAGCAATGAAGAATTTCTCAGCATGGTGTCTTTCCCTATATCATTGATTTTTAAGGGTGACAAAATACAGCACTCAAGACTTTTTAAACCTTATTGGTTTTGCTGGACCGTAAAGGTAACTAACAACATGTTAACACAGATGGCTGCAGACAGACGTAACGTTGTCCTCTCTGTGCTTTTAAGTATTTGAGCTATGAAAGAGGTCACATTTAATAGCACGTTGGTGTGACAGAACAGATGAATACACTAACATGACTTCTGGACTGCAGGTGGCTTTGGTCCATCCAAATTAGATTAGAAACAAACAAACAACATTGGTCTTTATGTACCTGCAGAGGGCAGATACATCTTAAGACAGAAAACTACCTCTGTTTGTAGGAAATACACCCCCTTTTCCTCAATTTCCAAAGTCTAGTCAAAGCAGCAAATTACTTTGTTTACTCTCAAAGCCGACTGTGCAGTCAAATGTTTATTGATAACTGTTTGTGAACTGCTTTTTGCTTTGTAACACAGTAAGAGAAACTAAAGATCAAATATTCCTACATAGCTTTGATGACCTAATGAATTGAAAGACATGTACCAGTCAGTGGGTTCTCCCAGCCAAAAGATGCTGAGTTTGTAGGACATCCATATGCCAGTCAGGAAATTTACATCTGAATAAACATTTGAAATGTAATAACAAGCTCTGGAAACTGTTAGAGATTAGCAGAAGGAGAAGGGGAGGAATAGCAGCACCTAGAATAGTTTGCAATGTTGGTTGATTCTACTTGCAAGTGTAAGAAAAATATTTCTGTATGAGGTGTTACACTTTAAAACATAATCAATGCACGATGAAAAGGCACAAAGTTTCTCCTTTTACAGACTCTGATTTATGCAGTCCCTCGATGTTTACAAAATTGCTCACACATATTTACATAACCTCTTCCTACAGCTACCACTTGACAGATATTCTGGACACACAAACGCAAGCTGAATCCTTCATTTTGCCATTTCTTCTCTCCAAGTTTCTGGTGGACGAATTCCCCGTAAGCCTGGTGTTGCTACTCTACTTCTCTAATCCTTTGCTTCAGTTCTGATTGGCCACCTTTCCAGCTGACTAGCAAACTCTTTGTGGGAATGATGCCCAGCAGCAAAATTTTCAGGCAAGGAAGCTGGAGAGAAGATATTGATCAGTGTCCAACCACTTTCAAAGTAATGGAAAGAGAGGGAAAGGAGAATTTCATCAGAGAGGGAAAGGACTGTTTCATCTCTTCTAGTAAAAGTGGTATTGATTCAATTCTGTCCTTATAACTGAAATAGCTTGCTGGCTGCAGGGAAGCCAGCTTCTCATTCTAATCTCTCCTTCCTTGCAAAGTGGAAGATGGATAAAGTAGAACACGGTCGCTAGTCTGGGAGAGGGGATCAAATCAGGTTTCCTATTCTTCCAGATGTTGAACACTGTAAGAAAACTAAGCAGATTGCCTGTATTCTGCAAATTTCCCACAGAGGAGTGAGGCCAAGCCAAGCCCTTCACCATACCTCCTTTGCTATGCAAAGTAGAGGGTGATAGTCCACCATAGCACAGCATGTGACCCATTTTTTTGCTTGCTCAACTGAAAGTCCATTTTTGCAGGAGAGATGACTGTGCACACTGAAGAAGCTGTACTGAGTAGAACACTTACAGTAGTTGTGTTAAAGAATAAGTTTTTCTGCAATTAAAATGTACTACTATTTTACCTTTCTTCTTTAAAAAAAATAATACTGAAAGAGCCTATAATACAAAATATATTTTATATCTCAATATAAACAGCTATAGAAATAAACAATAAACAAGCTGTTTCATTTTCACCGTACAAACAAATTAAAGAGTACAGCAATGAAGCTAAAGCTACCTCTACACTTCTGTAGACAAGAGAAGTGAACTGGAAGGATGGACACACTCCAGTTACTCAGTTCACAATGCTTCTGTGGATCACTTTAACACTGCTCCTATTTCTTCTGCTGACTCTTGCTTTGGGCCTAGACAAGTTAATCTGCTGGTAGAAATTGCCATAATGCATCTTCACAACCTCACTAAAACCAGTGGAGTTGTAACAATTTAGCAGCTAATGATTTGTCATTAGCTGCCTTATTTCTCTTGTAATAGCAAACATCAAAACAAGCATGCTGCCTTATCCTATCCTTCTGTGGTATTTTCAAAACAAGTCAATATATCAGGGACAAGAATGTTAAGATATCAGAAAGCCTAACTACAGGAGCAGCTTTGTTTCTGCGCATGGCTCATGGCCTGCCTTCATTGGGTGGATGGGAAGGGCTAATTGCTCATTTGGGTTTCAGAATCAGCACTGGCTATTCAAATATGGTCCTGCTTGTATATCAACAGAAACCCTGTCCTTGCATTCACTAGAATAACAACAAGCCACTAATTCTGAAACCTGTGAAATATTCCTTAATCATCTGGGGTAGAACTCTTGTTTAATGGTGATGGCAGTATCCCAAGCATGGAGAAGTTAAATAGCACAAATCAGCCCTAGGGGATGAGGAAATCCCCTGAGTCACTGAAGCTATTCACACTGTGGATGATATAAATATATGCACTGTACCTTTTAATGTTGTTTAATCTTTTTACATTTAGAGATTGGTTTTATATTGCTAGGATCTTTTGAGTGAAATTATTCCATTGTCATGTGAAGACAATGCCATAGCACTAATGGGCACTTTAAAACAAAAAGTTATATTTCAGATTATATATCTTCTTGAACTTCTTTATATTAACATCAGTAGAAATTCTACTGGGGGCTTTTTTTTTAAAAAAAAAGGTGATTTAATATCCTTGAAAATATATGAAACATCTTCTGACAGACTTAATGGAAAGATAATTCTGTCAGAAATCAAGAATAGGATCTCACTCAAGATCTGCTAAAAAGCAATATTGTATTTTAATCTTTTTCCTGTCTGCTACCATGTGTCATAAAGTCAAAGCTAACACATTTCTAGGAAGCGGAGTTTTTTAGATGTCAAAACTGCTACACACCAAGAGCATAAAAAACCCCCCAAACCAAACTAAAACAAAGTGAGCATCAGTTATGAGGGAAAAAATACTCATTTGTTTAGAATTCAAAAAGTAATTTTACAATTCCATAAACAATGCATTATATAGATATAGTAATATAGCAAATGTTGTACACTCTCACCACATACACTTTTAAGGATGATTTATTTCAACTGTTCAGTAACTGTAAAAGTGCTGTGTTAAAGATTTCACATTTTATCAGCACCCTGAACAATTTTATGAGGTGATGATGTGAATAAACATCCATCAAAGACCCTACTCCATGATGAAAAGTTAATGTTTCAGAAAACTGGAGTGCTCTCCGTGGCTGTGTGATTCTGACTGAAAGCAGTTACACAGCAAAAAGGATTGGTTTGGGCTCACATGTACAAACATACTGAAAAAAGCAAGTATTTTTTTCTGCAAGAGCTTCAGTGAGCGAACAGCTTTTGTTTACTAGAGCAGTCCACACTAAACATTCTCTTAAAAAAACCTGAAAAGTTTTCAGCAAAAGATGTCATTAACACCTGAACCTAAGTAGATTATTTCTATGAAAACCACCTCACTACTGAAATAAAAATCCTAATAAGTTAATGTGAAGCCCTCTTTAAGAGTAGGTGACCCATATAGTAGAGAGCAGACAGAAATCTGAGCAAGTAACCAGGAATTTTAAAACATATATTCATTATATGTATTTCAAATACCTGCATTTAATGTTGGCATCTCTGCCTTTTTTTGAAAGACGTCATACAGACTTGATCCTAAAGCTTAACATGTAGTAGCCGTTTTGCATTTATCTATGAAATGGAGTTTTAAAACGTGGATTCTGATACAGAACAAAACTCTAACTGCATGATAAATCAGAAGAGCAAAGCATGTTATAAACATGAACTGAACTAAGATTCACTGAATCTATCAAGTTTTGTAGCAGTGATCAGCTTTCAAAGACAACTGACAGACAGGCATTATGTTTGCTATTTTCAGTCTTTCTAATAAACATCAACTCATTGGCACTTGGAAATTCACTGTAAAATACAAATATTATGCTATCACCTACTTCTGTTTTCAGTAACAAAGTAAAACCAGCAGAAGCACACCAGGATTTTCAGTCTGAATGTTATTTTCACTTTTCAAGCCTTTTCATTTCACAGGTTTTATACCTGACACTCTCTGTTTTAGCAGATCAGACACCACGCCTACAAAGAGCACAAACTGTGAGTGACCACTTTACCTTCTGAAAAATCAATCAGTCCCAGCAAATGAAGCAGCTTCAGAGATGCAAATATAATCACAACAATACCCACTGTTTGCAGTCCCTCTGACTCCCACTCGAGAGTCAACATTCTTCCAACAGGCAAATCATTCCAGTCTTCACACTGGTTCACAATCAGAGGAAAATTAGAGGATTTTACCAAGAGTTTGCTTTGAAGAAAGTTGCAGCAGTGTAAAGCAGCACTGTACTGAGCTGTGGGGATTTACCAGCCACTCCGAGACGAAATATTAGATAAAGCAACGCATCTCATGCTTCTCTAAGCATTTGATTTCACCAGTAGCAAGTCCTCTTAGAAAGCGGAGGTGGACCACGAACCCCTGGGTATGACATTGTATCCGGTGAGCCGTGTTACTTCAGAGCTGCTGGAGGAACATCTGTGTCTGAGCTGGAGACTTGTCTGTGTCAGTGCCAAGAAGAAACTTACACTAGAGAGCACGCTGCTATCAGCACTCTGCACTCCAGTGCTTCCAGACCCAGGCTTTGCGATTCTTCCCAGCGTTGGAGCCCTTCCCCAGCTATCCTTAGCACAATTTGAGTTAAGTTTGACCAATGGCAGTTTGCTAAAGGCAGACATCTGTTTTCACGTGTGCTAAATGCTGCATATCAGAAATCTACTGCCCTCTGCATTAGAAAGAATAACGTTCAGAGAAAACACTGTCCTTTAGTCATCTCAAGCATCACCAGAATCTAATTAAACTCTTCTGTGGACATGAGAATGGCAATTAAAGAAATACACATCAGCTAGTAAAATGCCTTCAGCTAGCAAAATACAGAGCTGTCAAGGAAACCCCAGACCCCCGTTCTGTAGCCAGGGAGAGTGTAGTTTTTATTGACTGAAAAACAAAACAGTGCTTTTCTGCCTAAGGATATGTGCTAAACCCTAAACTGATATATATGACTGGGAATTAGGCATTTTACACAGATCCTGGGAAGATCTTGCCAAGGGTACGCATCAGGGGAAAAAGAAAATAGACTTATGATCCCAGCTGATTTACTGGATAGTCTGTATAAAACTAGTTGTTCTGTGTTTATTAATGTTATTACCAAGAAGATACCCAGTGGACCGAGCGGGAAGGACAGGCTCTGAAGAATATTTATGCAGCACATAAACATTACAAGCTTAGACCTAAATGATTATTATTGTGCCCTGCCTAATTATTTAACTAAATCCTGTCCACTGGTATACAAGGCACTGGAATAAAATGAAGCCTCAGAAAATATAATTTTAGACACCCCTATTACTGAAGAAACACATATGATCTAACACTAAAATCAATCTTGTAAAGGATGCCCAATATCAACCATTAAAACATAGGTCACTTAACTCTTTCTATTAGAAACAATTTTTACTAATTTTTGACAAGCTCGGAAACTTTTATTTTTTGGTCAGAAAGCCATTATAATCTTAAAGCACTACAATAGCAAATTCTAATATTAACAATCTATTGTTTATGGACTACCAGGTAAAGAAAGAGAAATTTAATCTCCATTTTTCTCTAAGCTTTTTCTTTATTTTTCTTTGAAGGCTTTCTGCATGGAATTACAATAGATAATAGGAGTCACAGATTTTTCCACATAGGCAGCAGACTAGAATCTGCATAAGATTTGTTCAAAAAAACATATGTCTGCTTCAGTTAATTTTAGGTTCTATTTAGGCAATCTATAAGCAAAAATATTCTTTGATTTTGCTCATTTGGGTATTTAATACTACAATGTCATGAGTTCTGTATTATTTATATATGATTTCAATCTGACTGTTGGTTCCTTTGTCTATTAACCTGTAGATCTAAAATGGTGTCTAAGAGGAAAGCACAATAAGAATAAATCAGACCAAATACACTGTCCCAACATCTGTACTTTCCAAATACATCATTACCTTTGCCTCATTATGAAAGACCTATTTACTGCATTTTCATGTTAACTTCTATTCCTTTTAAAATAAAATTAACATTTTGTTTGCTCTTTTTGATTTTTAATTATTCCATAACATTTCTCCTTTTAAGGCTCTGACATGTTCATTTTTAACTCATTCTTATCTCTGTCTTCTATTTTTTCATTGAGTTTATTCTTATTTATATCTTTCTCTTATTTTTCCTTCTTTTTCTCAAATGATAAAGCACAGTCAAATGCTCATGAAACTGCATCGTTTGATGTGATTCTAGAATCAGAACTTTGACCCATACTGTTTTGTGGGCATTACAAGACTATATTCATAATATACTACAAACAACAATATCAGAACAGTTAAAGAGGCCTTATCATTTGTTAACAAACAGTATCAGGGAATGATTAAAATAGAGAAATCCGTTAGTCTACATTCTTGTTTCATGCAGTAGGTCCAGGCTACCTTGTGTTCTTGAGAGCATAGGCCCTTCTACTCCACCAATGAATGTACCAACCCATGCGCAGAAATCCACTCAGCGAGTAGTACCAGCCATAACCAGTGTTTTGTTTTCTTCCACACAAGAAGAGAGAGCTAGATTCTGTCTAAAAAAATGAAAAGGCTGGACATTATTAATTTTTTCCTGTTGTTTCACGAGAGAGTTCTCTAAGTTACAGGAACCACACACAGACTTTGTAAGTCAACAAGTCTTAGCTCTGAAAAGTAAAGCAGTAAGGGCAAGAAACTATGTGGAAAAGAAAAGGAAGTGATGTATGAAATGTTTCCTTTAATACACCATGCAACAGATTAAAACAACAGTGTCATTTACAGACATGAATTCTTCTCGAAGTGTTTCAATCAAGAAAATTTGATGCCTCAAAGCATTTGAAAATGAAGTCAGTCTTGGCCAAGAAGATAATAAAATTCAGTTATATATAGGGCACTTCTTCGTATTCTGATCCCTACCTAAATCCACAATCAAATGGAATTTCTCTCACTTTTCTATTTTGTATAAGTATTTCAAAATAAATATTTCTGTGACATATCCTTATGAGGTGCCTGCATTGACACTAATAGCAAATTACAAAAGCTGTTCAAAGTAAAGGAGTTCATCAATGCCAACCCCAGGAAATAAAAGAACACCATCCTTTACACGAAGCATTGAAACCAGGGGCTGACAGCTTGCAATATCCAAGCATTGCTCCAGCTGCTAGTCTTTCCCTAAGTCTTGCCTTCATTTTTGACACTGCAATGCATTCTTCTGGTGATCAAGTAATATATTTAAACATTTGCATAAAAACTTTCTTGTGATTTTCCAGTAGGTTGCATATTAAAAAAAATAAAGAAAAAATGTGCTAGCATTGTTAGAAAGCTAAGAAATCTAAACTGTGCATCTTCACCAGCTATAAATTCCTCTCCAAAAAAACTTGAAGTTGAACCTTTACTGTTTTCTGGAAACTTGGGTGCTACTGCCCCATGGGTTCACTGAAACATTAATTATGAGAAAGCATAACCATGTTAGGACTAAACTCCAACACAGAGCACTCCTGAATTAGCAATAAACATGCACACAAAGCTACAGCATTAGGCTGATTTGCTGCTGTTCCTGTCCATGGCAGGGGGGGTTGGAACTAGATTATCTTAAGGTCCTTTCCAACCATAAGTATTCTACAATTCTATGATATGCTGCAGTGTAAGGTTGCAGTGGGTGCGGGTACACGGCAAGGTATGGTGCTCCTCAAAGAATGGGGTGGAACTCATGGCCATGGGCCTGCTCGCACCAGCTCCTTTCCCCTGGTGATAAGCTGTGCAAACACAAAAAGATAATCTGCCATTTTAAAACAATATTCCTCTTAATTTAACACACCACAGGAAGTAGCAAATGCCGAGAATAACATGCTATGGATGCTATGAATTGAACAATTAAGGAAATAATAATTATATGGTCAGTGTATTAGGGTATAAAATCTTCCTATCATTTTATATAATTAGATAGTGTAATGATTTAAGCCCAGCCAGCAGCCCAGAACCACACAGAACCACGCAGCCGCTGCTCACTCTCCCCACCTTCCTCCCCCCACTCCCAGAAGGATGGGGAGGAGAATCAAAAAAATGTAACTCCCATGGGTTGAGATAAGAACAGTCCAATAATTAAGGTATAACACAAATCACTGCTGCTACCACCAATGATAATAATGATAAGGGAAATAAGGGAAGAGAATACAACTGCTCACCACCCGCCGACCAATACCCAGCCCAACCCAAGCAGTGATCTAGCCCTTCCTTTCAAACTTACCCAGTGTTATCACACTTTTTAATAAATACTGGTAAACTACTTTAATTCCAGTAAACTCTCAGTTTTTAACTATAATCTGTCACTGAAATAAGCACAATAAAATTGTTTTTCTTTTCATTACTTTAGTTTTCACAAAGAATGTTCACTTATTTTTATTTTAATGCTTACAAAAAGTTTTCACTGTAATTGATAAACTTCCTCTTTTCAATTTCTTCTGACTTTTCTACATGAGATTAGAGAAATATGAAAGCCTACCTCATCCCAAGTACATAGAAGTGGTTTATGTCTTTCCACTATATTTTGATTTTAACATCTGCTTGTAAATATTATCAGTCTTCTCAGGCTTTTCACAAAGAGTAGTCTCTTCATATTTAGAACAATTTTCATTTCTGTGTAGATATCCTGGATTTGCTGTTGTCTGATATGGAATGGAGCTGATGGGACCTGCTGGAGAGAGTCCAGCGCAGGGCAACTAAGATGATTAAGGGAGTGGAGCATCTCCCTTATGAGGAAAGACTGAGGGAGCTGGGTCTCTACAGTTTGGAGAAGAGGAGATTGAGGGGTGACCTTATTAGTGTATATAAATATATAAAGGGGGAGTGTCACGAGGATGGAGCCAGGCTCTTCTCAGTGGCAAACAATGAAAGGACAAGGGGTAATGGATACAAATTGGAGCACAAGAGGTTCCACTTAAACCTGAGAAGAAACTTCTTCTCAGTGAGGGTGACGGAACACTGGAACGGGCTGCCCAGGGGGGTTGTGGAATCTCCTTCTTTGGAGACATTCAAGACCCGCCTGGACACGTTCCTGTGTAACCTTATCTAGGTGTTCCTGCTCCGGCAGGGGGATTGGACTAGATGATCTTTTGAGGTCCCTTCCAATCTCTAACCTACTGTGATACTGTGATACTGTGAAAACTGAACAGTTTTCAAAGCAAGAATGCATTATTATTTATTATTTGACTTGAATTATACTGTTTTCCTAAGTGATGAAATCTGCCCAGTGTTTTAAGTAATTTGGAGAGGGTGACAGGATAGGGGAAGAGGAATAGGGAAGTGGTATCTTAATTGGCTAGCAGTTACAGTTCATTAGACTCTATTCGATGCTTTCCCCCAGTGTAGCTGAAAAGGGAAACTGCTGATGAGTTAGAAATAGAAACAAAATCCGAAGTATTAATTAGCTGCCCTTCTTTCTTTACCTTCTTTTTTTCCCAGAGGAAAATATCAGTCAAACAGAAGGGAAAGAAACTGTCAGATAAACACAGAAAGTCACCTATGTACAGGTCAGATGAACTGCTAATCTTCAGCTTCTTGTTTACGACAGATCTAAGCTTATTAGGAAGGTTATCTTGTGGATAATGAACTTAGTCCTA